GATATGGCCTCCATGGTAAGCAAGGGGCACTGCCAAGGGATTTTTCCTTTTGATGCTGTGGCTCTGAGTTTTACATCACAAATACAATGCCTGGCTCTATCTATAGGCCCAAAGCTATTGAACACTGCGTAAGCCAGTTTCTTTAGAACATTTTTACGCTGACAGGTTGTTATCTGTCCTTGGGAACCTATTTTAAATAGTGAAATACTTTAAGTCTTACACATGAATAACAATATATTACATTTGTAAAACATCAGTCTCAGCACCATCGTTTAGTAAACAATCTGAATATATTGTATTACCTCAGTTACAGCTAAAGCAATATATCTTCTACAGTCAGTTTCTATTGAGGTACAATGACTGGAAGGAAAGTCAGGGTTGGAGAAGGACAAAGAGACCTGTGCCAATGTCCAGCAATAGGCTGGGTTTTCCTGTAGCCATGATTACTCAGGGCTTCTCCATGGAGACAGCAGGAGGAGGTAACAGTCTTGCCAGAGGGAAGAGGCAGGCCCAGGGCCCTTCAGTCCTGCTGGACCACCTGGGAAGCCGAGTCTGAGCTCTGGGGCCTCTGCCTTAGAGTGCAGTCTCACTTTTAGTGGCTGCCTTGGTTTTTTTGTTTGTTTGTTTGTTTGTTTGTTTGTTTTTTGAGACAGGGCTTCACTATATAATTCAAATTGGCCTGAACTCAGTATGTAGCCCCAGGCTGGTCTTGAACTTGGCACCATCCTCCTGCCTCAGCCTCCTAAGTGCTGGGATTATAGGAATGCGCCACCATGCCCAGCATCCTAGATTAGTTTTTATAATGAATATAATGTAGACTATCTTCTGCACTTTTCCAAGGTAGTCAAGGTAATTGGCTTTAATGTATTACTTGTACTACATTCCTACCTTGATGTCTAATATTATATTTCTAAACATGAGGATAATCTTTGCCATCTTCACAGGATCATAGTGCTTACTGAGATAGCATTTATAAAACTGTAAAGTATCTTATAATACAGAGAGCTGGTATCGTGGATTAGATCTTACCTGCTTCTCACATATTCATGCCATTCTACTCTGCCCCTTCCATATAGACACTGTGCTGAGTAAGATAAAAAGTTAAATTATATACTTAGACTATTCCTGTATATTAGTTTTACATGGTTCTTTTTGTACATACCTTCATATGAAATAGGGACTATTTTCAGTACTTTTATGGAGAGACTTTTTATAATAAATATTTAATTATAAGTTATAGATGCAATTTTTAAATTTATGAATAATAGTATAGTTAGACTATGTGGCATTGGAAAAAGAACTTAAATTTCTTATAAGACCAGTGCTGTTCCTGTATAAAGGGTGATATTTATCTTTCAACAATTTTTTTTTTTTTTTTTTTTTGGTGGTACCAGGGATAGAACTCAGGACCTTGTGCTTGCCAAGAAAGTACTTATTCTACTGAGCTATATCTCCCTGACCCCTGTCTTTCAACATTATTGATGAGCCAATATATTTTCAAAGCATTTGGAATATTGTTTTACAGAACTTTTTCTACACTTATTTTCTCAAACATACTAATTTTAATTTAAACATAATTGTGTAATATTTTGATTATAGTCCTTTTTGTATAAATTACATTGAAAAGTCTGAAACTTAACTCCACATTTCTTTCATATACTTTGTTTTAGACTCTCTAGTGAAAAATGTGAAAAAGAAGCTATGTAGCAGTACACATTATTTTACTTTTTTGTGTATGTAGGAACCTCAGAACTCATCAGATATTTCAAAAAGTTAAGAATGTGTTCAATATGTTTTATAATTACCTGCTATATATCTGGTACTATTGTCAGACTTTGGAATATGAAGATTTTAAAAAGTAGCTTGGGAATCTATTAAATAAACTTGTGATTGTGAATGAAACAGACAGTTAAGCAATTATAATGCAGTATCAGATACTATAATAGGTGATGAATATGCAGAGAGCTTTGGTGCCCAGAGGAGTTGCCTACTGTGTTTTTGAGATGGAGGTGTACATTCCAGGAAAGTGACACCTGTGTCAAGTCTGGAGAGAGCCAGGACCTGAAGAATGGTGCTCTCTCTTTCAGGTTAAGCTCATATTAAGATGATATGGAGCCATGGAATGTTGTTGTTTAGAGCAGCATGAGTAGCTTTGGCATTTAAGATAATTACTGGGAGCTGTATCTCTAAGCCATGAAGATATCAATTAGTATTAATTTTATAATAATCTACATCACTACCATTTATTTAATACCTGTTATATATTAGCTCATGTATATATGCTAATTTAATTCAACACCCCTTTAATTAGATATTCTTACAATTATTTTATAGGTAAGACAACAGACTCAGAGTAGTTGAAATGAGTTACTAGACAGAACAGAGAATATGTTTGGTCAGCTATCATTTCATTTAAACTTTCATTTTTATTTCTTCAATCAAAAATAGAAACCTCCACTAGAAATATGCTGTGATGATTAAAGAATGTTTAAAAATACTTGGAAGTCAAAATGGATATTCCTCAAAAAACTAAAAATCGAATTCCACTCATCCCAGCTATTCTTCTTATATTTATTTTCCCAAAATTTAAAAAGTCATTCACACCCATGTTTACAACAGCATTACTCATACTAGCTAAATCTTGAAAGTGGCCTATTATATATGTATTAACAGATGAATAGATGAAGGAATGTGGTATTGATACATATGGAGCACTACTGTGCCATAAAGAGGGACAGATCTGAGTCATTTGTAGGAAAATGGATGCACCTTGAAATCACAATATTAAGTGAAATTAAGAAACGCAAAGTATAAATTTTTAAAACCAAAAGATAATAGGAAACAGATAAATAATTTGCAAATGGGAAGAAAATCAAGAGATTGAGGGGGTAAAAAGAACTAAGATATGTTAAATACTTGCATCTACTCCCTACAATGAGTGTAAATATTATGTACTACAAACATGTACTAATAAGGGCTGGGGAGATAGCTCTGTAGAATAAGCGCCTGCCTGGAAAGCATAGGGTCCTGAGTTCAATCTCCAGTACTGCAAGAACAACAACAAAAAGTACTAATAAAAAAACAATTTTAGTTTACTACTATCTTGGTTTAATACTTCTTCTAAATTATAGTGGGGTATAAAGCAAGTCTGTACCTTCAGATATAAAAATTATAAAGATTTGAGTAGTCTTTCAAAAATACTTGTATATAACTAGAAGCTAAGATGCAGATGTTGCGTATATTCTTTTTGAGTTCTTACCTTTGTCTTCTTTTATTTCAGCTCAATCAGAAATTGAAGTGTCTGTCTCTGCAAGGAATATTAGACGGTTATTAAGTTTCCAGCGCTATCTCAGATCCTCACGATTTTTCCGGGGTACTACAGTTTCCAGTTCTCTTAACATTTTAGATGATGATTACAATGGACAAGCCAAGGTCTGTAAAGCTTTTTCAAGAAATGTTTCTACAGACCACCTCTTTTCTCCATATTTTACTAACTGGTATATTCTTTTTGTCTGTGAAAAACAATCTGGGCCAGTTTTTCAGATTTTTCCTTTAGAGTCACTGTTTGTTTTATATTTAGGTATGGCAGAACAAAGAAGATTTGAGAAATAACTGAAATAGTGAAAATGTTTCCATTTGTCACAACATTAAGTAACGGATAGATCAGTAAAACATTAAATACAGTTTACAAAGGTCACCCAGAATCTTAATGCTGGGAAGAATATTAGAGGTTATGCAGTCTAATATTTCTCTAGTCTGTGCGAAACAAAACTGAGACCTAGAGGGCACAAGGGATGTGAGTTCACCCAGCTGGTTAAAGGTAAACTCAACAGCGCACAAAGTTAAGTTTCATAATTTTCAGCTAAATGCATTTCGTGTAGACTCCTGCATCAAAGAGATTTTAAGGATTTAGACATGTCTTAAGTAAGCCAAATTCATCTTCAAATACTTTAAAAGAAATGTCTGAATCAATTTGAAGTAAAATGAGCCTGTTTTTGAAAAATAAGAATTTTAAATAATCTTAAGTTTATTTTCATGGGCCAATTTTTGTAAATTTGTATAGAATAGGTTGGGGTACATTTTTAACAGATGATACTGAAAAAACTTTGCTTTCTTGTTTGATAAACAATATTACTGAAAAATCTTTGTAATTTCTTTAAACCTTTGAAAAAAACTCAAGTACTGCTTTTTAAACTGAGAAAAAAAAATATATATATATATCACTGTTATTTGTACTTTCATAATAATTTCTAGTAATATGTTAGCATTGCTCATGTCTAATTGCTTTAAGTGTATACCACAGTAAACTTTTAGATGCAAAATGTTTTTTTTTCTTAAAAAAGTATATAAAGTGTTTAGGTTAAGAATATATAATGCAGGGGCTGGGGAGATGGCTCAGTAGAATAAGTGCTTGCCTGGCAAGCACTAAGGGCCTGAATTCAGTCCCCAGTTCCTCAAAAAAAAAAAAAAAAAAAAAGAGGAGGAGGAGGAGGAGGAGGAGGAGGAGGAGGAGGAGGACGACGACGACGACGACGACGACGACGACGACGACGACGACGTGTAATGCAAAGCCAGGCGTGGTGACATGTGCCTGTAGTCTCAACACTTTGAGACTGAGGCAGGAGAATTGCTATGAGTTCGAGGCCAACAGGCCTGAACTACATAGTGAGGCCCTGTGAAAGAGAGAGACAGAGAGACTGAGAGACAGAGACAGACAGACAGAGACAGACACAGAGACATACAAAGTACTTATGCTGTGCTAGTGTTTAGTAAGTACTCAGTATCTAGCTATTGTTACTCATATTTGCCAGCTTTTTAAAATCTAGTTTTAGACCATGAAACCTATGAATCACACTGCTGTGATGCTGAATCATTTCATAACTCTTGAAAATTATTGGAACCATAGGAATAAGTTGAAAGGCTAACCTGACCTTTATATTCATTAACTGAAAGACAAAATAATTTCATTTTTCAAATGGAGTTTCTTTCTTTGGACATTTTTTATAGCTCATTGGAAAAGTCATGATTAAAAGGAGAATTATAATTGGTATTTCTTAAAGTAAATTAGTCACTTTCCATTTTCATTAACTTTTCTATGGACTATCTGAAAAGTGACAGAATGTTATTGAAAATAAATTACAGTAAGAATGCTTGGTTTTCATTTCAGTGTATGCTGGAAAAAGTTGGAAATTGGAATTTTGATATCTTTCTATTTGATAGACTAACAAATGGTAAGTGAAGAATTTGACTTACTCAAGTTAATATCACCTCTAGATTGTACAGTGATCGTACAGCTATTATTGGTGGGTTGCTTTCTTAGTTTCTGAGCTGCTGGCAAAGGGAATATCATGTTGTCCCTTTTTAAGTGACTTTTCTAAAACCTAACAGAAATAACCTCATGTCTATTTTTATTACTAGCAATAGCAGTAATCAAAGTCATTATTACTTACAATGGTGGCACCCATGTATAATCCAGCTATTTAGGAGGCTGAGGCAGGAAAATCACAATTGTGTTCAAGACCAGCCTGAGCAACTTACTGAGACCCTATCTAAAATAAAATTAAAAACAGAAGAGCCAGAGATATAGCTCAGAGATAGACTACTTTGTGTGAGACACTAAGTTCAAGCCTCAGTAACAAACAACAACAAAAAAGTCATCATCCTCATAACTTGTCTGATTGGCAGGTAATGCTGCTATTGTTAATACCCCGGGTGATCATTACTATCTCATTATGGTCTTGATTTTTCAGTTTGATAGAAACCAAACCACATATTTATTCAGCATTCCAGATAGATAAGGTATTCTCTCTGTGTACTTTCTACTGTCTCACTTTATTAAAAAGCTGTTCAGGAGGGCCTGCCCATTAGCCCAGTTGTTTAAGTGCCTGCTTAAACAAAGCAGTCAGGCTCAGGATACTGTGCTTCGATCCCCAGATACTCAAGCCGAACTAGACCTGCCCTGAAGGCATGAGGCCACACACAAAAAAAAAAATCCTACAATCCCAGGCTGCTTAGACCCTGTACCAAATAAATAAATAAATAAATAAATAAATAAATAAATAAATAGATTTTTTAAAAAATAAAAAGCTGTGCCAGTAAAAGGGACAAAGACTAGCTGAACCATGAGAATTATGCTAAAAATTTTTATCATAAATGAAAGAATTTCTTAAAGGAAATCCAGTTCCAGTTCTCTTAGACTGTGTTATTTATAGTGATACTTTCAGATCTATCCTGTGCATGAGTAGCATGATGAGAGGTGGATTAGCTACCTTCTACATTTTCTTGCCTCTGTGTAATTGAGAGACCTAACATGTTATGATCAGTGCAGTGGTTCCTTCTGGCGCCCACATGGCCAGTGATCAGAACATATATGGAGAAAGGAAGAGTGGTTTGAAAAAGATGGCCCCAGGTGATTCACTTCTGCCCCCACACATCCTGAATTTGCTTTAGCTTTGATAGCGATAGGGTTGCCACATTTTCTTATTCTCTTTGGGAATTAGAACTGGATTTCCTTTGAGAAATTCCTTCATTTATAATAAAAATTTTTAGCATAATTCTTGTGGTTCAACTAGCCTTTGCTCTTTTTGCCTGAACAGCTTTTTAATAAAGTGAAACAGTAGGAAGTACACAGAGAGAATGCCTTATCTATTTGGAATGATGAATAAATATGTGGTCCACTACTGTACTTTGCTATCACTTATTGTTGTGGTTTTCTTTTTACTTTGGGATAAGCCTCCTTTCATAAGGAAACCAATACAGTATGTAAAACAGATAAGTGAACACAACCGTATCTTGAGCATTAGAGTCAGTATGACTATGCTATTTCCTTAGGCTGTAAGCCACTACATAGAGAAAATATCACTGTAGGCACTCTCTACTTGTGTATGCATTGTGGACAAGAAGTAGTTTGCACTGATCATCACAGTGGTAAACGCAGTCAGGTTTTCCTTTACTAGCAAAAATTCTTTATTGCTGATTTCCCTGCCTTATTTTTTCCTTGTTAGTCCTTTTTTATTCTTCCTCTTTTTGCCATTTGGTGATAAGGTGCCTGCTCCTCACCCTGCCCACAAAGTAACCTGTGGGAAAGGATGAAATGTCATCACACACTTGGCCTTCTTCTGGGCCATCTGCTTGAAATTACAGGCAGTGAAATATCAGGTGACCCATGTCCTTCTAGATCTGAGAAATGCTCTTTTTCTGACTCTACACAAATATTATTTCAGCTACTATCTCAAGACATAAATGAAATTACCTTAGCCCCTTCAAGGTTTAGCCTTATATAAACTTTCACAACTCATGGCCTATCGTTAGGCTTCTCTGGTACCTGTCATTTGTTGAAATCGTTCATTGTTCTTCTCTAAATTTTATTTTTAAAAATTGCAGGCCCCCCTAGTCAGTCTTGGTGTGAAAATGGAATGGGATTGGTAGTGTGTAGGACCGTCAGAAGTATAGAAGTAGTGGCCATCGTCTAGATTACTTAACTGCTTTCCCTTTAATCACCTCACTTTTTGAACCAGGTTTGTGGACAAGGTGGTTGAATGGTTTCCTCTTAGAGTTAACTCTAAATCATTAGCAGTTAGTATAATTTCACCCATAGTTACTTCCCACCTTTGATTTTTATTCTTTTTTGCGGAACCAGGGATTGAACTCAGGCCCTTGCACTTGCCAGGCAAGCACTTTATTCTACTGAGCTATTTCCCCAGCCACCCCCCCACCTTTGATTTAATAAAGGATAATATATGCATTCATTTAAATATAGCATCCTGGCTCTTGCCCTTTGCCACCACCATGGAAGGTTGCTTTTTGCTCTGTGCTGCTCTGCATTGTACCCAGCTGAGTATGGACTGAAATCTCCAGTAACTGTGAGCTAAATAAACCTTTCCTTCCTTCATTTTGAGTGTCGGGTATTTGTCCCAACAATGAGAGAAGAGTAACTAAGACAGAATTTGGTACCGCAGGAGTGGGGTCATTGCTGTG